TATGATTTCATTTGTAATTGTAGGTGGATTCATGCCCCCTTTCAGGGAAAGATTGCATAATTTTAAATTTTTTTTACAAAGTGAAATAATAATAAATATGTTAGAGTAACAACAGACTTGGCTCTATGTCCAATATAAACAAAGTAGACTAGGTTTGAATAAAATTGGTAACAAAGTCACACATGGAAAACCTTTCTCTGGAGATTTTTCTTTATCTGGGAATGCTGAAAATTAGTTATGCCACTGAACATAAAAAATCAACCCTAAGTCCCAAATCTCTGCTTATATTGGCTTTTGAATACTTCAAACTGCCTAAGGTACAGTCAGCCAGTCCTGAAATGCATACTTAAACACAATTCATTGGCTTCCTGTCTGTCTGGAGATGTCAACAGATTGTAAATCACAAAATTCCCTTTGGGTTGGGGGCTTGCACCTGCAAGCCAACTTAGTCATCAAATAGATCTTTTTTCTGTTCTCCAAAAGGCTGCTTCATTCTGGTTTCCATGAACTCTATACCACTCCACATTTTTATTTTGTCTATGAGGTTTTTACACATTTATAGTATTTTCCACTCCCTTCCAACTACAAAGAGTTCAGAGTTTTAGAATGGAGTAGCTGTTGTTCTCCAACAAATTAAGGGTCACACCAAAGAGACCAAGAAGGTCGAATCTACTAAAATCATATCCTCATACCTTTATACCCCAGTGATATGAAAGTAGGGTGAATACTCAAAGGGCAACATACCCTTGTCTCAATTTTTTTTTTTTTTTTTGAAAAAAAGTGATAGGGAACAGGTCTTATGGTTAATGACTTTATGATGAGGTTTTAGGAATGGATTTCTCATTTTTCTGGCACTTGACACAATTTTCGAGCTCTAGGTAAAATAACTAAGTCCCCAAACTGAGACCTGAACTAGAAAATTTACTCAAACTATTTAGTAGTCTAGAGTTTTCAAACAAAAGACATCTGGATCCTATTTTACTAGGGTTAGAGGAACAAATTTTACAGCCTAGTGCAAGAAACTGCCCTTTTAAAGGCATATAACAGACAGTTTATAGATTCTTGCAAGATAATTTTTTCCTCATTTATCTTCTGTTTTAAAGCAATTTAAAGATTGATTTAGATTTGGAAGGAAATTTCAACCATGTGAAAGTATATGATGTTCTCAGCAGTTAGCTCAAGTGCTTTAAATAGGATGGATCAGTTAATCATCTTTGTATAAGAACATTTTTTTCTTTTAAGTAACTTTTCCTTTCATAAGACCATGAATTAAAATGAGAGATTAAAGAAAATGTTCAGAAAGTATATTTCTTTTAAATGGTCATAAATTTTGCTCCAAATCAAGGAAATACTAAAAAATAAAAATCATAAAAAACTCCACTCTACCACTGATTATTGATTATGACCCCAAACAAAAATATCAAAAGTTGTTTTTTACTTCTATTATAAGGATCATTTTAATTCTACAGTCAAAAAATGTTGAATTTATACTAACTTTGTTTTCAGTAATGAATATCAAAGCACTGTCATTAAAAATATCTTTGAGGTTTTATTAACTTGCTTTTATACAGAGTTTTACTTTTCACAAGTCAAACACATATTTTATATTCAGAGACTGATATTTTTCTGAAATATTAGCAGAGGGATTTCACTCTCCAGTGATGATAGCTCTATTTAGTTGAAAATAAAGGAAGTTTTACCCATGAGAACAAAAATAAGTGGTCTCATTCAGCCATCTCAGAACTCAGAGAAGCCCACAGCTTGCAAAGGAGCTTCACTAAGTGTCCCCAGAGAGGAAAACATGGCAGAGAATCAGAAACTCACTGGGAATCATTTCCAAAGTGATGTTTATGGTTTTAAAATTATGTTTATGTAATCTGGAAAAGTGTTTCGAATCAAATATAAGAATACATCGTCTTTCAATGATGAAAAACACAAAACTCACAATATTGTACTGGAGACTTCATTAAGGTTTAAACTCATCTGCTCTGTGTGCAAATTACTGTTGTGATTATTGAGAGTGCTCCCAAAATCAGTTCTAGTTCTGCCTAAAACTGCTTTAAGTTATTAATTTGTATAATCCTTTACGGGTTTGTGAGAAGCACAAATTTAAGCATTTAGATGTAAGTTTAATGTATGGAAGGCAAAATTTAGGAGTAAAATTAGATTAAGAGAAATTTCCCTTTTTTCTTTCAACTAATTATGCTTCAACACAGGGGTAAACAGTAAGATCTGGGTTCATTGGGTTGCTGTTTGTAAAACACATTTGAATTTGCATCAAAATGAAAAAAATTTTAAATGTATCCAGAGAGAAACCTAGACATTCTTACTTAAATGTTCAATCTATCCTACTGGTATTCAACTGTTTACCATCACGTCACACACTGAAACAACAGTAGCACCATGAATAACTCATTAGGATATTTTTATTGCTGGAAGTACACAATACTTCACACCATCCAAATGAGTAAAGAAGATAAAAGACCAAATTTGCAAATTAAATATTTTAATGTAAGGGGTATCTTAATCCTTGTGGATCTTCTTTTGTAAAATCCATAATTTATTTTTTGGTAAAGTGAATAATCACTGCTTTTATCAGGTTGCATGGTAATGAAGCACGGTCAGAAATGGAACAACCTCAAATCACAATTTTAAAATATTTGGGTGGGAGGAACCCTTCATATAATGTATCACCTTGAAAATGACAAGGCCATTATAATTCACTTTCATTTACCAAGATTTTAATTTGTTGTACATCCTGTAACAAGGGACAATTTATGCCAGACTCAGAGCTGGAGGAAAGATGATCCTTAAAGGCATTTTATAATTGGGCAGCTTGTCTTGCTCTTTGATGGCTTGCCTATGATTAAAATGTTTATTCAGCGGGCTCCCTAATCAGAGTGCTCATGTAATATAATACATAATAACAATATATAAAATAAAATCCAGAAATAAGGCAAATGCTATAAACTTAAATTGGAGGAAAATTTATAAACTCCACCTAATTCTAGAGATAGAATAACCCCGTGTGTTTACTTCTGTATCACAACTTTCAGAAGCAAGATGCTTATCTGATGAAATATTTAGAATATTTAAGTAACAAAAAAGTTTTTTTTCTCTATTCTCTCTTTAAGTAGGAACTCTAGACAATCTATATTTCTTTTTTGTTTGTTTGTTTTTGAGGCTGAGTCTCGCTCTGTGGCCCAGGCTGGAGTGCAGTGGCGCAATCTCCGCTCACTGCAAGCTCCGCCTCCCGGGCTCTCGCCATTCTCTTGCCTCAGAGTCCCGAGTAGCTGGGACTATAGCGCCACCACCTCGCCTGGCTAGTTTTTTGTATTTTTAGTAGAGGCAGTTTAATCCTGTTAGTCAAGATGGTCTCGATTTTCTGACCTCGTGATCCTCCCGCCTCGGCCTCCCAAAGTGCTGGGATTACAGGCGTCAGCCCTGGCGTCTGGCCAACTTCCCCTTTCTTAAGCGATAGATGCTAAGTCCTTGGTTTTCACTTGACTCAAGGCCATTTGTCTTCCAGGCCAGAAGCCCCAAGGTTTGGTGGGGCAGTAGGTGTGGCGGGGTCCTAGAAGCAAGAGGTGTATCTTTATCCTGCTCCTTCACAGAACCCAAGTATGTGGCAGCAATGATAGAGAACGAAGTCCTAAGAAACAGCCAGATGCCACAAGTTTGAACTCTGCCTGCGCAGTGGATATCTGAGAGCACCAAGACTAGAGAGTTCTCCCCCAGAGGCCTTCCCACAATTAACTGGGAAGGGTGTGAGGTAAATAGAAAAATCTTCACATGTCTCAAATTGTTTTTTTTTACTCCCTGTTGAGGTAAGACTCAAAAATATTCAATTTGAATTGAAAAACATTAAAGCAATATTTTGCACACCCAATTATTGTGGCAAAATAAAATTTATACCCGATGCACAATTCACGAAGACTGTATTGATATGATGATATAAAGAACTTGAGGTTACACATTCTGATTACAGGTTAATTTTCTATTGGATCAAAGAAAGGTCTATTAATTGACAGCAAGTTTTCTAGCCATGTTGTAAATTGCTGGTGTGCTCACCCATTTTTTTCTTGATTTTATTAATAAATTATTTGAGAATATTCATTCAGTGTTAGTTCTCACTTTATCTTACTTGTTCATCTGATCTCAACCCTAAAAGTATACTGAGATGTGGATAAGAAACCATTTTCTAATTAATCTTAAATTTTTAATTTGCATCAAGACTTCTTCAAACGTTTGTATCTTCATTTCCTGTTCTTTGGGCTTCACGGACTGACCAGAAGCCCTGTCTGATGGTATATGCAATATAATAAATGGGAAAACATGAAACCAAAGCAAGTAGGTTTAGCTAACAGAGTTCCTTCCTCTGCTTATTTAGCTATGATTTCTGCAATTAATTCTTCTTTTGCCTTCCTACAGGAAAAAACAGGTTTCAAAGAGGCTTCTACATAAGGATAACATTCTGTATCTTTTTCTAATAAAAACATAGATAATTTTAAAACTATCATCCCAGTCAGAAGTGGAAACGAAAAGAGCAAAATGTTGAATGAGGGAAAGTAAAAAAAGGAATAAAAAGGGAGGCTGAAAATTATTAAAAAGTAAACAGGAAGCTAGGAGGTTAAGGAGGAGGAAGATAGACAGAATATGGGAATAGACTTCCACTAAGGAGAACTGTCATCTAAAACTGCATGTACAATGTCCTCCCCCACCCCCAGGAAAGTTTTGGAGGGAAAATGTATTTTATTAAATGATATTAGCAAATGCTTAGACATAGTGGCTTTGACAACAAGATCTTGAGGTTAAGAATATTGGTGGCACACTTTTAGTTTGGTCAACTGCTGCCCTAAAGAAGTTCATACTATCATTCGCGAATGAGTAGCTTCTCAACATCCAGGTTAAACATTAGCAATGAAAAGCCAGCAAGCTTCTGTGTTGCTTGGATGCTGAAATCGTCTATGTCGTGACATAGTTGCAGTGGTTTGACCTACCTGGCTGCAATCCGGCCAAGCTCTAGCAGACAGAGACACACTTCTCTGGGTTGCTTGTGGAGGACTGAAAGACAAGACAGAGGCAAACACCTTTACAATAGAAGGAATAAGCAGCTCAACAGTACTGGCTTGCCAGTGACCCTCATCCCTCATGCTCCCAGGAAAGGATCTAGTCTTTATTCTGACAGTCATAGAACCCATCGCATTCCTCAATTCACCTGGCTCTACTAAAAGTTTAAATTCATTCTCAAAACTCTGCCTATGCTTCCTCTTGAAAGCTATTCGTCTCAGGAACTCTCACCCCAGGTAAATCTCACCCTAAAAATGTTTTCTTCAATTAATTAATATTGGTAAGTCAATATTGGATACCTGTGTAGCTGTAATTATGATATCTGTCAATAATTGATATTTAAAAACACAAAACACAACTATGGAGCAAGGGCTAGCCATTTTAATATCATGGGCCTACCTCCAACAGTGGTTTTAGCAGGAAAAAAATGAAATAAGGATAAACATTTTATACTACATTCTTTCGTTATCCTCCAAAGATGAATGTCAAAGTGAGACCCTGTCGCTTCATGTGCCCTTCGAATCAAATCTGATTAAATAATACTTTAGAAAGAAACAGTTTCAACTGACTGAATTTTGTAAATATGTACCAACGCACCATCAGCCAGTTTTGCCCGTCACAAAAGCAAATCAGAAGGTTATACTTTGAATTGATATTTCTATTATAATGTGATTAATTAGTGCATTTGCTTTATTGATAGACATTCAGTAACGTTGACAAATCATACTTGTTTTTGTCAAGCCTACAAGAAGAGCATGTAAAAGAGCATACTATTCTCTTTTTTAAGCAAAATGTGGGGATTTTTACAATATTCTTTTATTCAGCACTGAATAAAGATAAGAGAGATTGGAAAAAATTTGCACTGAGAACAGTCTTACACTGATAAATAATATTCTAAAAGAAAATATTAGTTTATTGATTGTTTATTGATAGACTTTAAGAAAAAGAGAATATTGCCTTTATTCTTAAACACAGAATTCTGTAATAATTTAACTTGCCAGCATTAGTCTATTCACTTAACTTAAATATTCTAATTCCTTCTTTCTACAGATTATGATAGTGACAATATTTGATCCAGTGACAGCACAGTGGAATTTGCTGGGTATGTGTAGTAAATAGAATAAACACTTTTACCTGATTGTAAAAGTATGTGATTTCATTTGGTTTTAGGGAGACATCCAAATGTATTATTATTTGGTTATAAAATGACATTTTAAAGCTTTTAAAATAAATTTGAATCCTACCAGAATTCTAATGCCTCCATTAAATTTTAAATCCCACAACTAATTATGGAAAATCTTAATTGCAAGATATTTCTATTACTGATAACACAAATTTTAGATTCAGATGACCATTAGTAAATTGTCACAAAGTCCTAGTTAGGGAATTCTTAATTACTTTTAATTAAAAGGGTTTAAAATGAAGATATTTACTACCTCCAGTTTCAAATGTACTACAAGTTGACTGTGACTAGAATGATATCAACTTCATAAGGTTTAGCATATTAAATAAATTCCAGCACATAGCAACCTAAGGGCTGTAATATCACACGGTCATCAATTTCATACAGAGAACAATAACACATATTACAAAACAGAAATAAACAAATGAAAATGGATCTTCCTGTCTAGATCATCAATTTTTTTCTGATTCAGATTTTTTTTTTAACATATCCATGGTACAAAATAACAAAAGGGAGTTTTGAGTGGGAGAAAAAAGTATATAAAAACTGAGGAGAGGAGGACTTTTAAAGCTAATGCTCTCATCCTAAGTAAAAGCTGTGTGAAGCAGTGGCTGTAGCATCAAGAGCTTTGGATACAATGTCATGCTTTTCTTGATGACAAGAGTGTCAAAATCTAAAAACTATTAGTTAACTGACTAAATTGTATTAATGTGCTGCTAATAACCAACTATAAAAGGTAATACCTGACAATAATGGTTCTTTAACCAACTTACTGTACATATTCTGAGTACTAATTTGGAAAATCAAATTCATTCTGAAGAAAAATAATAATGTGAGTGCTATAAGAAAGATAATTTCACATGTAGGATGCATCAATATTGTGTATTTCTTTGCTTCTTCATTTACCAATTTAAAACAGCTTTTGCATGCCAAAACTCAATATCAACTCTATCATAGACTCATTAGAAAATCAGTTTGGCAAACTGAGAAGAAACTGCATGATTCTCCATTTTATTTCCTTAACAGAATCAGCCCATTAAAATTTAAGACAGATAAACCTCTTCCCCAGTATCACTTCTTAGGAAAATGCTAACAGAAAAATGGTGTTTTACTTTCAATTTTTTGTGTAACTATCGCCTTTTTATAAAGCAATAACATTGCTTTAAAGCACATCTGTAATATTACCTCACACGTTAATAGCTTTTCAAATAACGAATATACCAAGCCTGGCCACTAATGGACCAAAAAAAAAAAAAAAAAGAATGATTGGTGACCAGTAAGCAATGACTTAGATAAATCTGTAGAGTTGCATAACTTAGCTCAATACTTAGAACAGAGAAAGGCCTTAGTAACTACTATGCCTTATAAGACAAGGAAGATGATGGTTATGTGGTGGTGGTGATAGGGGTTGTGATGCTGAACAAACTGAATAAAGGCTAACGTTTTATCTAGCATCTTTGGAAAAGGAAAGAATTTAAATCATGCGAATATTTAATTGCAAAACCAAGCACTCTTACCTTCTGGCTATAAAATTTAAATTCAAATGTCTGTATGTAGTATCTATATTATACTAAAAAGGTGACTTTTGTTGTGGTACTAGAGCAAGTTCTAAACTAAAGTTAATAGATGAAAAGAGTATAATGGCTGTGTAATTCAAGCCACAAAGCTCTGAGTGTGAGTATGAGCACTAATATTTGCTGGTCGTGTTATTTTGGGAGGTTATTCTACAAAATCACATTTTTCTGCAGGAAAATAATAATGCCCACCTCATAATATTTTTGTGATGATTAAACAAAATAATATTTACTGTTATGCTTAGCACAGTACTTGGCATATAGAAAATACCTGCCCAATGTTAGTTTTATATTTTTTCTTTTCATTATTATTATTTTATTTGGTTTAGTCGATTAACATTAATTCACTTTTTCCCCCATAGGCACTTTTTTTGTGTGCATCATAATGTGTCAGTTACTAGACAGTGAAAGAAACTCTGGAATGAAGAAAAGATTACTGTTATGAGATGTAATTTCAATTGATTCTGTTATAATGAGTATACATTAAATTTTTATCTTTTATATTATATCAGATATAGTTAATTTTAAATTTAATAAAATTTCATGTCAAATGAGTCAATTTGGCCAACATATAAAATATAAAGCAGATATCCTTCAGCGATTACAAGTTGATGCTAAGTATAAAGTTCAAGTAACAATTGCATTAGGACATATATCAGTTTCTGAAACACCAAATATCTTGCCTTTAATTTTCCTTTGTGATTAAATTTAGTAGAGTTCACTTTTAGTAATTATTTATGTTGATTATGTATTATCTATTTTAGAAGATAAAATAACTGAATGTATACCTTTATCAAGATGATTAGACAGGGAACTTTCATTGTATTGTGTTTGTACTAAAGCCCTTACATCCAGTCATATGTACTAGTCATTTTAAGCACATTTCATCATTTATCTTTTTCAAAAGAGCGTCTAGTTACTTTAAAATTTAGAGTACGAGAAATTTTCCCCACTTTACCATTGTAACATTAACGAAGTCTTTTGCTTTGAGTTAGGGGTAGAAGAGAGGATTGCTGTAGCTTTCCTCCGAACAAATTCTCTTCAAAACAAATAAAGAGCTCTCTAGTCAATGGTGATTATTACACAAATGGTTTTATCATTGGCGGCTTCTTTTTAAATAATCAAAACCGTTTCAAGAAAAGCATAAAGTAAAACACCTCTGGGAAAAGTAACACAGGTTTCCATTCTAAAAATATGTGGCAAGAGACTCAATCTCATAACCTAGATTCTATTAAAAAAATCTCATGGGCATCAAATGTCAAATGGAATGCTGCTAGCCCCAGGAATAGAAAATGAGGCCTTCCACTAAAGCAAGAGGGTAGAATATCAATGTCACAGAATCTGCAAGGATAAAATGCATTGGACCATGAATGTATAGTTTAGCTAAATATATTAAGTTTTAACAGATGGGCAAAGAAATGAAAGCATGAAAAATTGTGTTGTCCATTTGGTTTCTATATAACTAGAGGTTATAACATTAATGGTAATGTTGAAGAAAATTGCTTTTTAGCCTTTTATTTAGTAAGGAAACTTGAAAAATATACTTTTAGATAAATGCTGTTCACTTATAAGAATATCATAAATTAATGACTGCCTACTTTCCCAGAGTAGAGAATTGCTTCTAATATGCCAAGGAGAGTGGTATTGTAGAAGAAATAGTAATCTAGAGGTCAGAAGAATTGGGTTCTACTTAAGGCTAATTTCTTCAACAAGTGCCATGTTTTCTACTTGCTCTTCTTTATAAGGTAACCATACAGTTAAGAACACTTGGTACCTGGCAAACACTCAATAAATGTTACTCTCTTGCACTAAAGTGTGACCCACAGACCAACAGTATTGGCATGGCACAGAAGCTTGTTAAAAATGCAGATTTGGGGCCCTATCCAGCTCTAATAATCAGAAACTACATTTAAACAAATTTTCCAGGTGATGCGTATATAAAGTTTGATAAGTACTGTATTAATCAATGTTATAATAATAAGTAGTGGTTATAACTCCTACATCTGTTTTGCTGAAAATATTTAAGTGTGCTTTGATATATTTAACATGCTCTACAAATGTGAAGGATAACAATGGTGTTAGTGGTGGTGATGATGATGATGATGATGATGATGATGATGATAATGATAAATGGAGGGGAAATAATGTGAATGTTGGATTAGCCCTTAATAAATATTATAGGCATTTCTCTCCTGCCAGAATCTGTAAGATACATAAAAACTTTCATGCTTCCCAAG